CCTGCAAGTACTATAATATCTGAACTAGTAGCACTGCGTAGCAGCGTGTTCAGTTCGTGATAGAAAGTGTCCTTGACTGCATTAGAACTGCAGTCCGTGGGAGCATAAGCAGAAATCACAAACAAAAAGCGTTTTGTTTTACTTCGCGAATTCACCTTAGCTGATGTCGTCAAACGGGCTGCACATAAACGGCTGTTCACCGGAATCCAATCAACCAGCGATGACTCAGCCTTGGAGCTTAGAATGATACCTACACCAGCTTGACCCGTGAGTGCCGCATCGGCGTCTCCGGATGCGTGCAACCAATAACGAGAGGATAAGCCGGGTGCAGTCAATTCAATAACCCCGTTAGGGTCATTAATCCTAGTTTCGGACACACAACACACATCAACACCTAGTGTGTCCAAGGTGCGTGCGAGTGCAGCCTGCTGACCTGTTTGTCTTAGAGTGCGGACGTTGAATGTCGCCATGGAAACGGGACAGCGTGGCCTTATAAGGAACTTTTGCCGATAGGCGTCCGATAGGTGCTGTGGGATGGTGGCTGCAGATGGTTCTACTCCAGTAGCACTTCGGTTGCTGGCAATTAAGCTGGGAATTATAGAAGGAAGGTTAGTAATGGGGGCCGGGATGGGAGTAAGAGAAAAAGGTGGAAAAGAAAGAAGGGAGGCGCCAGCAGTAGCATGCTTTCGCTTATCCGCCCTGCTGTATGCAGCAGATAAGGCGACCCTTGATAATCTGCGCGACGGCCGATGCAGGATGAAGTTTATGTTTGAAGGAGATGTCATGGTTGTATGTGGGCTGGGATACTGCAAGGGCGCCCAGACCTAGACAGGAGAACGATTAGGGTCCTCATCCAAAGCCTTTGGCTCAAAAGCCTGTCCGCAAGGCAGCGGGGTGGCAGTGATTTAGTTTTACAGAAATGGACGCCATCCCATTTCAAACCCCCAACCTGGAGGACCAGGAGACTGAGTTTGTCTGACCTCTCACCATTGACCAACCTGGTAGGAGTAGGTCTCAAGATGCTCGAAGGCATCACCCAGTATAGCTCAATGGGTCAATGAGGTACGCAAACCGACGCACCACGTTAAGGTCCAGTCTCGTACTTGTGTATAGAAGCCCTGGGAGTGCGTCCAAAGAGGTGCTTGACTTTATTCGCTCCCAATCAGCAAACAGGTGTTTGATACTGGGGGATTTCAATCTACCAGAGGTTTGCTGGGCGGATCTTTCTTGCAACTCGGCAGAAGGTACTTTTGGGGCAGATCTACTTGAGCTTATGCTACGAGTACCGTTGCATCAGTTCGTGGACCTCCCCACTAGGTACATGGACGCTCAACTCCCGTCTATTTTGGATCTAGTGTTTGCTAAGTCACTAGACTTCGTAGGGGACATCACTTACAGCTCTCCCTTAGGTGCTAGTGATCATGTGTGTTTATCGTTCAGGTGTACTCTGACCAGGCGTCACCAGAGCATTGCTAAGGCATTTCCAAACATATGGCGGGCTAACTATCAGGCAATGCGTATCAAGGCTGCTGGGATGCGTTGCGAAATCTCGGTGGTTGATACGGTTCAGGCGGCTTGGGATAAATTTAAATCTTATCTCACGGAAGTGTCTTCTCCCTACATCCCACTTGCGAGGAGAAAGGAGACACGAGCGCGGCCGCCGTGGATAGATACCACTGGCAAGTATCTGCTTCAGAAACGTTCTAGGTGCTGGAGGACCTACCGTGCGGCTCCATCAACTAGCACCTATGATAGATACCGCGAGGCTAGAAATAGGTGTAAACAACACTTAAGGAAAGCTCGGCTGGTGTATGAAAAGGAATTGGCTGATGGAGCTTCGGAAAATCCGAAGTTCTTCGCTTATGTTAAGAGACGCTGTGGTTCAACTTCGGTAATCCCAACTTTGATGCGGGCCGATGGAACTCGTGCGTATGCGGACTCAGATAAGGCTCGTGTACTTGGGGAACAGTATGCCGCGTTGAATAAGGTTGAACTTATCCCCAGAGTACCTGAGGGTTCTTATTTAGTCGAGTTTACTGTGGTGGAAACGCAAGTCCTTAAACTGCTGCAAGAACTGAACCCTTCCAAAGCAGCTGGACCTGATTCAACTCACCCGAAGCTTCTACATGAGTTGGCGGTGGAACTTAGTGGACCGCTGACGATGGTGTTTCAGAAGTCACTTGACAGCTGTACATTACCTTCCGAATGGAAGGAGGCTGTCATCTGTCCTATCTTCAAAAATGGCGACAGGAGTCTGTCAGCCAATTATAGGCCGGTTAGCCTGACTAGCGTCGTGGTCAAACTGCTTGAAAAGCTGGTGAGAGATTCGTTGGAATGTCACCTGAATAGATTTGATCTACTCAGTACTGCACAACATGGATTCCGGAAGGGGTTTTCATGTTTGACGAATTTGTTGGTTGCTCGTGAAGCTTGGGCCGAGGCACTGAACAATGGCCACGCAGTGGATGTGCTTTTCGTAGACTTCTCGAAAGCATTTGATAAGGTACCCCACTTGAGGCTATCACAAAAGCTGAGGTCCTACGGCGTATCTGGCCGCGCCCTTCACTGGGTATCTGCGTTCTTGCAGGGAAGAGAGCAGTGTGTACGTGTGGGTCGCAGCTTATCCTTTAAGCAAGCGGTCCTTAGCGGTGTCCCACAGGGCTCGATCCTTGGACCGATGCTGTTCTCCATCTATGTAAACGATCTCCCTGGAGACCTTGGGGTATCATCCCTATTGTTTGCCGATGACCTTAAGCTATGGAATGTTGTAAATGTTCCTGGGGGTTCTGAGGCCATACAGCATGCACTGGACACACTCTGGGACTGGTCTACCTTGTGGCTACTGCCCATAAATCAGGCTAAGTGTTCCGTCCTCCGTATAGGTGCAACTTTCCCGACTTCGAGTTACGTACGCGGTGGGGTCGAACTCCCCCTTGTCTCCAACCAAGTAGACCTAGGTGTCGTTCATTCCTCGTCTTTGCATTCTGGTGACAACTGGAAGAAGGCCGCTAGTAGGGATTTCAGAATGTTGTGGTTAATACGCCGTTCTTCCGGGGTCTTAACTGCCGACATATTTGTGAAGCTGTTCTCAGCTTTCGTCCGGCCCCATCTGGAATACTGTGTCCAGGCTTGCCCGCCCTGCCTTGTTCGGGACAAAATGGAGCTCGAGAGGGTTTTGCGAGTAGGTACCAAATTGGTCGAGGGGTTACGGAGGCAATCGTACCCCGAGCGTCTACTTAGCTTGGGTATGTATTCAATGCACTACCGACGGCTTCGAGGAGACCTAATCCTTACTTACCGCATTTTAACAGGGAAGGTTGGACCGGACTTGAGCTGGCTATTTAGCCCGGCTAGGTTGCCTTGTCTTCGCGATCATCCCATGAAGCCACACAAGCCGCGTTCTGACCGGATCAGGGCGGAAACTCGGTTATCGCGTAGAGTTATCGAGCGCTGGAACTCGCTTCCAGAAAGTGTAGTCAGTGAACCTACGGTTAAGGGTTTCGAGCGTCAGTTAGACGCTCTTGGGTAGCAACACGAAACCTTTCCCTTCTCCTGACCATATCCATCTTCAAACTTTTAGTTTTTATTCTGTCATTTTCTTCACTCTTTGGTGTTATCCCTCATTTTAATGACTTTCATTTACTTTCTACTTCTTTCTTAGTTCACGTAACCTACACAGCGCGGACTGCTAGTGCAGGGAACGTGGGCAGTAATTGGTTGATCGGGGTGTGTTTCGGGTGTTTCGTTTTAGATCTATCAAGTACTAGCACCTTATCATTTCCTGGCTCAACGATTTGCTCAAGAAGGAACACTCAAGGGATTTTCCTATTGTTCCAGTCCATCTAAATCTGAATGTTTGCTTAGCTTGGGTATGTATTCAATACACAACCGCAGCGTTAGGGGAGACTTGATTCCCACTTGCCGTATTCTAACTGGTAAGATCGGTCTAGGCTTGTCCTGTCTATTTAGTACCGCTAAGCTGCCTAGTCTCCGAGATCACCCGTTGAAGCTACACAAACTGCGTTCTGACCGGGTAAGGACGGAAACTCGCTTGTCGCGCCGGGTTATTAAACGTTGGAACTCACTTCCGGAGCACATCGTTAGGGAGTCTACAGTTGAGTATTTCGAGCGTCAGTTAGATACTCTTGGATGGCGGTACAAAACCTTCTCCTAACCGACTTGTATCTTCAACTTCCTGTTCGTATTTTTTTAATTTCTACCTTTGTATTACCGTTATTTATCTGACACTCTTCTTCCTGTTTTCTTAGCTTACCTTTTACCTCACATAAACCGGCCTGACAGGGACTGCTGGGCAGGAAAATGTGGGCAGTAATTGGTTAAACAGCGTGTGATGCGGTCTTTGTTTTAGGCTTTTCAACATCTCAAGCAGACCTATCAATTCCCGAGCCAACGATACTCAAAAGAAGGAACATTCACGGGATTTTCCTATTGTTCCGGTCCCGACTGAACTTGAACATAAAAGGTGTACGATGAATGACGACCTTTTTACTGGTCTGTACTGGTCTTGATACCAGTGGCAGGATATGTCACAATGCATACCGCCAGAGAAATATTACTAGCTGTGAACAAGTAGACTCTCCTTAGGCTGCACTAGATTCATCAAAGGGAGACCGCATGGTGTCCATTTGCCTCGGTGTTAAGCGAGACAGCCATGTTCATGTGGAAAACAGAGCGGAATGAAACGAACACAAAGGTAAAAGGACTGCAATAATAAAGGTAAAAACAGGCTGCAAAACAGGATTAAAACTGGGAACAACCTGAAAAATTACCAGTAAGCATCTAAGACATTTTGGCCAGTACACTGTATACTGATGTACCGCATTAATCGATCCAAGATATATGGAATTAGAGAAAACTTGCCAATAGTCAAATTTTGTTCTAAGCGTTCATACAAACACTGTTTTCTACGATATTTCAGCTAGAAAGCTTGACCAGTACGGCAGTGAAGTGGATAATTTTTGTAAGGGAAATAGCCTTACGGGGACGTTGTGCTTGGGTACGCCAGTCAAAATGATGGCCATCGCGTGTATAAGGATGAGATGTATTGAAATGGTATGCCTACTTTAAAAGGAATCAAGTGCAGTTAACTAACATAGGCATGCATTTCACTCATACTGCGCATTGTTTGAAATGGCAATCAAGCGAAGAGGCTTATTTGGTTCAAGTTCAGTTGGGATCGGAACGATAGGATAATCCCGTGAATGTGCCTTCTTTTGCGTATCGTTGGATCGGGAATTGACAGGTCTGCTAGAGATGTTGGAAAGCCTAAAACAAAGACCGCATCACACCCTGTCCAACCAATTACTGCCCACATTTTCCTGCCCAGCAGTCCCTGCCGGGCCGGTTTATGTGAAGTAAAAAAGTGAAGGGTAAGCTAAGAAAAGAAGAGGAGGAATGTCAGCTAAATAATGATAATACCAAGGTGAGAAGAAAATTAAAAAAGAATGAAGGGAAAGTTGAAGATACAAGTCGGTTAGGAGAAGGGGAAGGTTTGGTACTGCCATCCTAGAGCATCTAACTGACGCTCGAAACCCTCTACCGTATACTCCCTAACCACGTGCGCCGGAAGCGAGTTCCAACGTTTAATAACTCGACGCGACAAGCGAGTTTCCGTCCTTACCCTGTCAGAACGCTGTTTGTGCAGCTTCAACGGGTGACCTTGGAGACTACGCAGCTTGGTGGGACTAAATAGCCAGGACAAGTCTGGACCGATCTTACCCGTTAAGATACGGTAAGTGAGAATCAAGTCTCCTCTAATTCTGCGGTAGTGTATTGAATACATACCCAAGCTAAGCAAACGTTCGGGATACGTTTGCCCCCGTAATCCTTGCACTAACCTTGTACCCACTCGCACTTCACTGTGAGTAGGTTTTCACCGTGAGTACTACGCGGTAACTCGATTTTTTGGCGTGCCATTCTGATCGAGCTTTTCAGCTGAAATAACGTGGAAAACAGTGTCTGAATAAACACTTGAAACGAAATTTGACTTATGTCAAATTTTCCCTGATCCAAGATATCTTGGATCGATTAAATTGGTACTGGCAGAAGCGTCTTTGGCGCTTACTGGAAATTTTTCCGGTTGTGCGCAATTTTAATCCCGTTTTGCACCCGGTTTTTGTCTTTTTATTGCGGTCGTTTTTCTATTGTATACGTGTTGTAATTCTAAACTGTTTTCCACATGAACATGGCTTTCTCGCTAAACACCGAGACGGATGGACCTATGGGGTCCTCGTTTGATGAGTCTACTGCAGCTTGCGGACAGGTTAACTGTTCAGAGCCAGTAACAGATGTATCTGGCGGGATGCAGTGTGACGTCTGCTGCCGCTGGTATCACGAAAATTGTACCGGCCTACAAGCTGACCAGTACAAAATGCTATCATCAAGCGTCCACTTTCTTTTCAGCTGTGCTGAATGCTGCTGTAGTGGACTCGGACCCAAAGAGAAATAAAGATGAATAAATGATGATCAAAAATGACAAGACTCACAGAAGGGTTCGACGTGGGTTAGAAGTCCAACCACATAAAATTTCCTAGTCCTCTTGCGTCAGCCACTCCGATGGATTGCAACGACGAGGATGGTGAAACCAGTTGAGACGGAACGAGATCTGTAGATGAATATTGCTCGAGGTTAGAACGTAGTGATCGACAATGCCATAAAATCCGCGACACAAGAACACAGAGAGAACACGTCGAGTTGCCCGCGTGGTTCAAAAAGTGTGTTATTTATCAATCAAAACAAGTGTACAAGGTTAATGTACAAGAATGGGTTGTAATAGGAAAGGAATGTACAATGAAAGATAAGTAAATTTACAAGCGCTACAGAACTCCCCCCTAGAGCGTTGGAAAGAGAGAAAACGCTCGATAGTATTATTGTGTGTAGTCGCGGAAACGCACAGGAGTTTTGTTAGTCCTACCAGAACGAGTATGTGTTGTAGGGGGTTGTGGTAAACAGGTAGAGTCTGTAGGCGTAGTTGTCGTTGGATGCATAGGAGTACATTCGGTACGAGGATCAGTAGCAGAGGAGGATGAGTGTGAGAAAACCGGAGTGGAGCTGGAACAATCATCCAGGTAGGCAACTTTCAAACGATCGAGACTGACAGAATCAGGCGTGCCGTTACGATCGACAACGTAATACTTGTCATGTCGCGAAATCACTTTGAATGGCCCTTCATAAGGCGGTTGCAGGGGCTTGCGAACAGCATCAACGCGAACGAATACGAAGGGGCATGAATGTAAATCCTTGTGGACTTGAGGTATGCGTGAGGTCCTTCTCGTCGGCGTTGGCTGGAGCTGACTCATATGATGTTTAAGCCGGGCGACATATGAAGTGGGATCAGATTCACCGGTGATTCTGGAATCGACGATCATCTCACCAGGAAGTCGAAGCGTTGTACCGAAGGTAAGCTCGGCAGGAGAGCAGCCGATGTCTTCCTTGCTTGTGTTGCGTATACTGAGCAGTATGATAGGTAAGGCTTCGTACCAGGATGTAGCGCTGGCTGTTAAAGCTGCCTTCAACTGTCTATGGAAACGTTCCACCAAACCATTAGATGCAGGGTGATATGCGGTAGTGCGTAAGTGGTTGCATCCCATGAGGCGGTTTAAGTCACGAAACAAGGTGGACGTGAACTGTGGTCCTCTATCGGTGGTAATGGTCGCAGGTACACCAAAGACAGATGCCCACGATTCAACGAAAGTGTGAGCGACAGTTTCGGCAGAGGTATCACGCAATGGGACTGCATGCGGCCATCTTGTGAAACGATCAACACAAGTTAATAAGTGCGTAAAACCGTTTGAAGGAGGCAATGGTCCGACTATATCCAGGTGAACGTGTTTAAAACGCGCGTCTGGAAGTGAGAAAGTTCCTGGAGTGGTAATGGTATGACGATGAACTTTACTCTTTTGGCATTGAATACAGGATTTTGCCCATTGCCTGATGTCAGTATTCATGTTTGGCCAAATATAGCGATCCGTGATGAGCTTAACGGTAGAACGGATGCTCGGATGGGAGAGGCCATGAAGATGATCGAAAATTTTCCGCCGGTACGACAATGGGACGTATGGACGCGGCTTACCGGTGGAAATGTCACAATGTATTTTCGAATCACAGTGAAGCAAGGGTAACTGGACGAACTTCAGTGCTTTGTTATTGCGAACAGATTCGAAATCAGAGTCAGTGATTTGTGCAGCAGCAATGTCCTCTAAGTGGATGGACGATGTCGACAGTTGGTGAATGTCGGTGCGGGATAACGCGTCAGCGACAATGTTGCCTGGCCCCTCGATGTAGTGGATGGCAGAGGTAAACTGCGAGATATAATCAAGATGCCTTGTCTCCCGAGGAGAATAGCGATCAGCTGGCGAGTTAAATGCGTAGACAAGTGGCTTATGGTCAGTTAGAACGATGAAGTGGCGTCCTTCGAGGATGTGGCGGAAGTGCTTAATGGCGAGGTAAACAGCAAGAAGTTCACGGCCGAACGTGCTGTACCTGGTTTGAGCCGGCTGGAGCTTCCGTGAGAAGAAGGACAGAGGCTGGACTTCGTTGTCTATGACCTGTTGTAAAACGGCTCCGACGGCTGATTGCGACGCGTCGGTTTTAAGTACTAACCTGGTGCTGGCGTCTGTGTTCAGATGACTCAGCGAAGTCGCGGTTGCTAGCGTTTGTTTGGCTTTTTCGAAAGCAGCTAGAGCGTCGGGTGACAGAATTAGCTTTCTCGGGTTACGCTGCAGCAAATCGGTAAGCGGTTTTAGGACATCGGAACAGTTAGGGATAAAACGACAGTAGTAGTTAATGATACCGAGGAAACGTCGGAGGCTCTTTATGGACTGAGGCACAGGGTAGTCGGTGATGGCAGTGACCTTGTCCGGAAGTGGACGTATACCTGTGGAGTCGATGTGATGTCCAAGAAAATCGATGCTAGGCATGCCAAAAATGCACTTAGCAGGGTTGATTGTGACACCAAAATGAGCTAGACGTTGGAAAACCTGGTGTAAATGAGACAGATGTTCCTCTTCGGTTGTGCTGGCTACCAAAATGTCGTCGATATAGGCAAAGACAAAATCAAGACCACGAAGGACTTGGTCGATAAATCGCTGAAAAGTCTGGGCAGCGTTTCGGAGACCAAACGGCATACGGAGAAACTCGTAAAGACCGAATGGCGTCGTGATTGCGGTCTTAGGTATGTCTTCTGGGGCCATCGGAATCTGGTAATACGCGCGGACTAGATCAATTTTAGAGAAAAGGCGTTTCCCGTATAGACTCATGGAAAAGTCATGGACGTGGGGAATTGGGTATTTGTCTGGAACAGTGGCGTTATTTAGAGCGCGATAGTCGCCGCATGGTCGCCAATCCCCTGTGGATTTCTTTGAAACCATGTGAAGTGGGGATGACCATGGGCTATTCGATGGACGAATAATGCCTAAATTCATCATGTGTTGAAATTCAGATTTGGCAATGGCGAGTTTGTCGGGAGCAAGACGTCGTGGTCTGGCGGTGACAGGATTGCCTTTAGTTTCGATGTGATGGCGGATTTCGTGTTTGGGCTGAAAGTCGTCGCTGATCGGTTGATAAATGGACGGAAACTGGCGCAGAAGAGCAGTAAACTTATTGTCGGAAGGCAGAGCCAAACGAATGCCAATCGAGTCGATAGCGAGGACTTTGCCGGAGACAGTAAGTGAGGTGACGCTATCACGGAGTTTCCTGTTTCCGAGATCAACGATGATGCCAAACTTCGTCAAGAAATCGATGCCAAGAATGGGCTTCTGAACGTCGGCGATTAAGAAAAGCCAAGGTAGTCGACGTCGGAGTCCCAGATCTAGGGTTAACAGTTTCTGACCGTACGTCTGAATTTTCGTACCATTGGCCGCCTGGAGTGTGACATGCCCCGGAGAAAGTTGGCGTTTTTGTGTACCTACGGGTATGACGCTAACTTCGGCACCCGTGTCGACGAGGAAACGGTAGCCGGTTGAGTTGTCAAACACGTGGAGAAGGCGACTATGGTGTTGGCCAGCGGCAGCTGTCGCCATTAC